GGTCCCAAGCAAGTCCCAAACCAGCAGAATAAATGAAATCCTGAGCACACTGGGCCAGTGACCTGTCCTCCAGCCCGACTCAGCCCAGCTCCTCATTCCTTTACCTCCCCTACGTCCAGTCATCGAGTGGGCCCAGATGGTCCCCTCAGAGGAGCAGGCCAGACTGGCTGCTTGCCAGCTCCCTGTAGCTTCTGTCCAGGAGAGGGTTCTAATGGGCCCCGACGTCTAGACCCACAGGGACCAAGTCTACTACCTGGGTTTTTGTTGGCCCTGCCCCCTGAGCCTCCATACCCTGTTCTGTTGCCCATTTCCTCTTGGAAGTCAGGCCAGATACACTCTAACCTTCAGACCCGGTAGCCCCCGCCCTTCAGCTTTGGGTGGTCCCCCAAATGGCGTTCATTTTAACTGATATTGATAGTTGTAGACAACTCCATGTGTGAGTGTTCTTCATTTCATAATGTAAATAATCTTTATAGGGTTTATATAGATTAAATTGTATAATGAGCCCTAAATGGATTAAAACGTTTAGAAAAGAAAATTGATAAGTGCTAGAGAATATAGTTGTTTATAATCCTGAGTAAGGAAGATTTTCTCTATGGTATGACATCTAGAGAATGTTTATTTTTTGATGAAAAATGTAGAAACACAAATGACAAACCAAGGAAAATGCTTGTAATGAGGCAGAAAGGGTTAATGTAAACACAGTAAACCAATAAAATAAATGAGCAATTTAGGAGAAATTTGGGTAAAGAAAATAAAATTTGCAAATGAAACACAGATGCCAATAAATATACAAAACTAAATTGCCTCAGCAACATTCAGATTTCAACAAGATCTAATGGTTTTCCAGTTAGGCTGTGGAAGAGTACTGGGTCAATCTAGGTCTAATCAGGAAATCACTGCTCACAAGGTTTGTTTGGGAATTGTTCCCATTTGGGAAGGTTGGAAGTACATAGAAGGCATGCCAGAGTGACCCAGAAATTGGGAACGGTACAAAGCAACTACACCCTTAGGGAAGAAGTAGTGTTCCCCGAACCTAGGGCTTTGGAGGCGCCATCATGGCACTACTGTTTAGGGTCTTGAGGGGACTCTGTAGGCCGATGGGGCAGTAGCCACCTGTGTGCTGTTGCCTGAAGGAGGCTGACAGGACTGGGAATCAAGAAGAAGAACTCCCCCACTCTGTCCTCCCACATTCCACTTTCTAGTCTCCCCTCAGCACCTGCCGTGGGCCGAGCATCTCTGGAACTGACAAGGAAGCCTCTATACCACGGAGACTTGGAGGGAAAAGGAGAGATTCATTCCCAGCACAAGTGCTAATAATAACCACAGCTGGTGCCTGGGGGCCTCAGAGACAGGACTCTGCATACACTGTTGGTTAGGGGTGTAAATGGGCCCAACCTTTTGGAAAGACCATTTCTGAGTATCTGTAAGAGTATTTTTTTGCTGTCATTCTGAAAGCTATGCCACTGTTATTTTAAATACCAGCAGGGTCACCCATGGTGGAGAGGTTTCAGGTGAGCTTCCAGACAAAGACAGACTAGGAAGAAAGAGTGACAAACTACTTCCAAATATTTAGTCACTTATGAACAGCAGAGAAAAACTCTCAGATATAGTGCTGGAAAATGAGCCCCTCAGGTTGGAAGGCACTCAAAATGCAACTGGGGAAAAACTGCCTCCTCAAAGTAGAGTTGACCATGATAGTGCGAATGGAGTAAGGCCCGTGGGAGAAAAAGCCCGCAGAACCTTCATTTGCTGATGGGGCACAACTCAAAATGAAGAGAAACAGCTGTAAACATCCATTGAAAATCAGAACGAAGTATGAATCTAGGAAAATTGGAAGTTGTCAAAAATGAAATGGAACACATAAACATCGGTATCTTAGGCATTAGTGAGCTGAAATGGACTGGTATTGGCCATTTTGAATCTGACAACCACATGGTTTACTATGCCGGGAATGAAAAATTGAAGAGGAAATGGTGTTGCATTCATCGTCAAAAAGAACATATCCTGATCAATCATGAGGTACAACGCTGTCTGTGATAGGATAATAACCATGCACCTACAGGGAAGCCCAAGTGAATACCACTATTATTAAAATTTATGCACCAACCACTAAAGCCAGTGAGGATGAAATAGAAGAATTCTATCAATCTGAAATTGATCAAACATGCAATCAAAATGTATTGATCATTACTGGTGATTGGAATGCAAAGGTTGGGAGCAAAGAAGAAGAAGGATCAGTGGTTGGAAAATATGGCCTTGGTGATAGAAATGATGCTGGAGAACACATGATAGAATTCTAAAAAACCAATGATTTGTTCATTTCAAATACCTTCTTTAGATAGCATAAAAGACGACCATACACATGAACCTCACCAGATGGAATACATAGAAATCAACTTGACTACATCTGCGGAAAGAGAAGATGGAAAAGCTCCATATCATCAATGAAAACAAGTCCACGAGAGCCAAAATATGACCTAGAATATATCCCACCTGAATTTAGAGATCATCTGAAGAACAGATTTGACACATTAAACACTAAAGACTGAAGACCAGAAGAGTTGTGGGATGATATCAAGAATATCATATATTGAAGAAAGCAAAAAGTCATTGAGAAAACAAAGAAGGAAACGGTCAAAATGGGTGTCAGAAGAGACACTGAACTTGCTCTCCAGCGTAGAGATGCTCAAGCAAATGGAAGAAATGAGGAGGTCCAAGAGTTGAACAGAAAATTTCAAAGATCAGCTAAAGAAGATAAAAATTTCTCCTAAATTGCTCATTTATTTTATTGGTTTACTGTGTTTACATTAACCCTTTCTGCCTCATTACAAGCATTTTTCCTTGGTTTGTCATTTGTGTTTCTACATTTTTCATCAAAAAATATTATAACAAAAACTGGGGGAACCGAAGAAAAAATTCAAGCCTTGGCTTTCGTTATTGAAAGATTCACTGGGCAAATTATTGAATGATGCAGAAGCATCAAGAGAAGATGGAAGGAAGGAATACAGTCACAATACCAAAAGGAAATGGTTAATGTTCAACCGTTTCAAGAGGTAGCATATGATCAAGAGCCAATGCTACTTACTGAAGGAGGAAGTCCAAGGTACATTGAAGGAATTGGCAAAGAACAAGGCACCAGGAATTGATGGAATAAAAATTGAAATCTTTCAAGAAAGTGAGGCAGCACAGGAGGCACTCAAACATCTATGCCAAGAAATTTGGAAGACAACTATCTGGCCAACTGATTGGAAGAGATCCATATTTGTGTCCATTCCAAAGAGAGGTGACCCAACAGAATACAGAAATCATCGGACAATCTGTTTAATATCCCATGCGAGTAAAGTTTTGCTATAGATAATATAGAAACAGCTACAAGCATACATTGACAGAGAACTTCCAGAGGTTCAAGCTGGATTCAGAAGAGGCCGTGGAATGAGAGATATCATTGCTGATGTCCAATGGATCG